AAAAATACACTAGAAGGAATCAATAGCAGAATAACCGAGGCAGAAGAACGAATATGTGACCTAGAAGACAGAATGGTGGAATTCACTGCTGCAGAACGGAATAGAGAAAAAAGAATGAAAAGAAATGAAGACAGCCTAAGAGACCTCTGGGAGAATATTAAATGCAACAACATTCGCATTATAGGGGTCCCAGAAGGAGAAGAGAGACAGAAAGGACCCGAGAAAATACTTGAAAGGATTATAGTCAAAAACTTCCCTAACATGGGAAAGGAAATAGCAACCCAACTCCAGGAAGGGCAGAGAGTCCCATACAGGAGAAATCCAAGGAGAAGCACACTGAGACACATGGTAATCAAACTGGCAAAAATTAAAGACAAAGAAAAATTATTGAAAGCAGCAAGGAAAAAATGACAAAAAACATACAAGGGAACTCCCATAAGGTTAACAGCTGATTTCTCAGCAGAAACTATACAAGACAGAAGGGAGTGGCATGATATACTTAAAGTGATGAAAGGGAAGAACCTACAACCAAGATTACTCTACCCGGCAAGGATCTCATTCAGATTCGATGGAGAAATCAAAAGCTTTACAGATAATCAAAAGCTAAGAGAATTCAGAACCACGATACCAGCTCTACAACAAACGCTAAAGGAACTTCTCTAAGTGGGAAACACAAGAGAAGAAAAGGACCTACAAAAACAAACCCAAAACAATTAAGAAAATGGTCATAGTAACATACATATAAATAATTACCTTAAATATGAATGGATTAAATGCTCCAACCAAAAGACACAGGCTTGCTGAATGGATACAAAAACAAGACCCATATATATGCTGACTACAAGAGACTGAAAGTGAGGGGATGGAAAAAGATATTCCATGCCAATGGAAATCAAAATAAAGCTGGAGTAGCAATACTCATATCAGACAAAATAGACTTTAAAATAAAGAATGTTACAAGAGACAAGGAAGGACACTATATAATGATCAAGGGATCAATCCAAGAAGAAGATATAAAAATTATAAATATACATGCACCCAACATAGGAGCACCTCAATACATAAGGCAACTGCTACCCGCTATAAAAGAGGAAATCGACAGTAACACAATAATAGTGGGGGACTTAACACCAATCGACAGATCAACCAAACAGAAAATTAATAAGGAAATACAAGCTTTAAATGACACAACAGACCAGATAGATTTAATTGACATTTATAGGACATTCCATCCAAAAACAGCAGATTACACTTTCTTCTCAAGTGCGCATGGAACATTCTCCAGGACAGATCATATCTTGGGTCACACATCAAGCCTCAGTAAATTTAAGAAAATTGAAATCATATCAAGCATCTTTTCTAACCACAACATTATTAGAATAGAAATCAATTACAGGGGAAAAAACATAAAAAACACAAACACATGGAGGCTAAACAATACGTTACTAAATAACCAAGAGATCACTGAAGAAATCAAGGAGGAAATAAAAAAATACCTAGAGACAAATGACAAGGAAACCATGACGATCCAAAACCTATGGGATGCAGCAAAAGCAGTTCTAAGAGGGAAGTTTATAGCTATACAAGCCTACCTCAGGAAACAAGAAAAATCTCAAGTAAACAATCTAACCTTACACCTAAAAGAACTATAGAAAGAAGAACAAACAAAACCCAAAGTTAGCAGAAGAAAAGAAATCATAAAGATAAGAGCAGAAATAAATGAAATAGAAACAAAGAAAACAATAGCAAAGATCAATAAAACTAAAAGCTGGCTCTTTGAGAAGATAAACAAAATTGATAAACCATTAGCCAGACTCATCAAGAAAAAGAGGAAGAGGACTCAAATCAATAGAATTAGAAATGAAAAAGGAGAAGTTATAACAGACACCACAGAAATACAAAGCAGCCTAAGAGACGACTACAAGCAACTCTATGCCAATAAAATGGACAACCTGAAGAAATGGACAAATTCTTAGAAAGGTATAACCTTCCAAGACTGAACCAGGAAGAAACAGAAAATATGAACAGACCAATCACAAGTAATGAAATTGAAAGTGTGATTAAAAATCTTCCAACAAACAAAAGTCCAGGACCAGATGGCTTCACAGGTGAATTCTATCAAACATTCAGAGTAGCGCTAACACCCATCCTTCTCAAGCTCTTCCAAAAAATTGCAGAGGAAGGAACACTCCCAAACTCATTCTATGAGGCCACCATCACCCTGATACCAGAACCATACGAAGCTACTACAAAAAAAGAAAATTACAGACCAATATCACTGATGAATATAGATGTAAAAATCCTCAGCAAAATACTAGCAAACAGAATCCAACAACACATCAAAAGGATCATACACTATGATCAAGGGGGATTTATCCCAGGGATGCAAGGATTCTACAATATACACAAATCAATCAATGTGATACACCATATCAACAAATTGAAGAAGAAAAACCATATGATCATCTCAATAGATGCAGAAAAGGCTTTTGACAAAATTTAACATCCATTTATGATAAAAACTCTCCAGAAAGTGGGCATAGAGGGAACCTACCTCAACATAATAAAGGCCATATACAACAAACCCACAGCAAAAATCATTCTCAATGGTGAAAAACTGAAAGCATTTCCTCTAAGATCAGGAACAAGACAAGGATGTCCACTCCCGCCACTATTATTCAACATAGTTTTGGAAGTCCTAGCCACGGCAATCACAGAAGAAAAAGAAATAAAAGGAATACAAATTGGAAAAGAAAGAGTAAAACTGTCACTGTTTGCAGATGACATGATATACTATACATAGAGAATCCTAAAGATGCCACCAGAAAACTACTAGAGCTAATTAATGAATTTGGTAAAGTTGCAGGATACAAAATTAATGCACAGACATCTCTTGCATTGCTATATACTAATAATGAAAAATCTGAAAGAGAAATTAAGGAAACACTCCCATTTATCATTGCAACAAAAAGAATAAAATACCTAGGAATAAACCTACCTAGGGAGACAAAGGACCAGTATGCAGAAAACTGTAAGACACTGATGAAAGAAATTAAAGATGATACCAACAGATGGAGAGATACACCATGTTCTTGGATTGGAAGAATCAATATTATGAAAATGCCTAAACTACATAAAGCAATCTACAGAGTCAATGCAATCCCTAACAAATTACCAATGGCAGTTTTTACAGAACTAGAACAAAAAATCTTAAAATTTGTATGGAGACACAAAAGACCCCGAATAGCCAAAGCAGTCTTGAGAAAGAAAAACGGAGCTGGAGGAATCAGATTCCCTGACTTCTGACTATACTACAAAGCTACAGTAATCAAGACAATATGGTACTGGCAAAAAACAGAAATATAGATCAATGGAACAAGATAGAAAGCCCAGAGATAAACCCACGCACCTATGGCCAACTAATCTATGACAAAGGAGGCAAGGATATACAATAGAGAAAAGACAGTCTTTTCAATAAGTGGTGATGGGAAAACTGGGCAGCTACATGTAAAAGAATGAAATTAGAACACTTCCTAACACCATACACAAAAATAAACTCAAAATTGATTAGAGACCTAAATGTAAGACTGGACACTATAAAACTCTTAGAGGAAAACATAGGAAGAACACTCTTTGACATAAATCACAGCAAGATCTTTTTTGATCCACCTCCTAGAGTAATGGAAATAAAAATAAAAATAAACAAATGGGACCTAATGAAACTTAAAAGCTTTTGCACAGCAAAGGAAACCATAAACAAGACGAAAAGACAACCCTCAGAAGGGGAGGAAATATTTGCAAATGAATCGACGGACAAAGGATTAATCTCCAAAACATACAGGCAACTCATGCAGCTCAATATCAAAAGAACAAACAACCAATCCAAAAATGGGCAGAAGACCTAAATAGACATTTCTCCAAAGAAGACATACAGATGGCCGAGAAGCACATGAAAAGCTGCTCAACATCACTAATTATTAGAGAAATGCAAATCAAAACTACAATGAGGTATCACCTCACACCAGTTAGAATGGGCATCATCAGAAAATGTACAAACAACAAATGCTGGAGAGGGTGTGGAGAAAAGGGAACCCTCTTGCACTGTTGGTGGGAATGTAAATTGATACAGCCACTATGGAGAACAGTATGGAGGTTCCTTAAAAAACTAAAAATAGAACTACCATATGACCCAGCAATCCCATTACTGGGCATATACCCTGAGAAAACCATAATTCAAAAAGACACATGCACCCCAATGTTCATTGCAGCACTATTTACAATAGCCACGTCATGGAAGCAACATAAATGCCCATTGACAGTGGAATGAATAAAGAAGATGTGGTACATATACACAATGGAATATTACTCAGCCATAAAAAGGAATGAAATTGGGTCATTTGTTGAGATGTGGATGGATCTAGAGACTGTCATACAGAGTGAAGTAAGTTAGAAAGAGAAAAGCAAATATCGTATATTAGCGCGTATATGTGGAACCTAGAAAAATGGTATAGATGAACCGGTCTGCAGGGCAGAAACTGAGAGACAGATCTATACAACAAACGTATGGACACCAAGGGGGGAAAGCAGGGGGGAGAGCGGCAGGGGGTGGGGATGGTGGTGTGCTGAATTGGGCGGGTGATTGGGATTAACATGTATACGCTGATGTGTATAAAACTGATGACTAATAACAACCTGCTGTATAAAAAAATAAATAAAATTAAATTAAAAAAAAAAGTCCCTCTCCACTACAACTTTCAACAGGAAGGGCTCTGACGATGCATATGGCCAAACAAGCCTCAGCCTGGCTAGCGCATTTATGCCCATGGGTGGCAGAGAGGTTTCAGTAGAAGGAAACTGATCCCTCTCTTTATGTGTAAAGGCACTGTAATTATCTCAGCTGCTTTGAAGCCAGTGAAAGGTGGAATATAAATATTTCAAAAGCACATTTAATGGGAGGCATAAGCAACTTCTCCCAACAAACAAAAAGGGTGTATACCCACCTGTTCTGAAAAAAACTGGAAGCCCTTGTCCTCACGAATACACTCATATGTTTCTCCAAGAACTGGATTAAATGGCTTGCTCCCAGCGCGGAAGTAGCTAGATGCATATGCGGACACGGCGAAGGCTGCCACGTACACCTAGCGAGAGCGGAGAGAATCTGGTTATTTCTCCATCACCAAGAAATTTATTTTTACGAACAAAGACATGAACAAAATAAAACCTTTCTCTCTTTACAATTTATCTTGAAAAGCCAAAGATTTGTCCCTGGTTTCAAGACACCCAAACCGACTTTGGTTTCAAGTTGTAGGTTTAAATAGTGTTCATTTTGGCCCAGGCACAAGTGGACCAGACCTTTTCAGATTGTCCATTTGGTCTGATGCCTGCAAGATGCCTTTCAAGATGGTGAGTCAGTCCCTCTAAACCAGCCACTGTCTGAGAATCCTGAGGTCGTGCTAAGGCTTTTGAGGAGGAGAGGGATGAAGAGTATTAAAAAAGCTAAACTTCCCTCAAAATTCAGGAATAAGCCACAGGGAACTCCGCTCAATACTCTGTAATAACCTAAATGGGAAAAGAACTTAAAAAAGAATTGATACATGTATTATATGTATAACTGGAATCACTTTGCTGCACACCTGAAACTAACACAACGTTGTTTATCAACTCCACTCCAATATAAAAAATAAATTCAGGAATAAGCATCCTAAGTTTAATCATTCACAATTTGATGTTGTAGAAACCAAAAAAAACCCTCATTTTGACCAAAGAAAATCTTTGGGGGTCATTTCCTGAGCCTGGGACAGAGCACAGTGTCTTTTAAGAAGTTCTGCTTTTCTGGGAGGAAAAATGAAAACTCAAAGAGGAAAAGGAGGGAAAACTATAAGTGAACACGAAATGAGCAAAATCCTTTAATGGCTGTGGCTGTGAGGGTCTCAGCATTTTCCACAGCTCCCCTTTCAGGGCAACAAAGAGCCACAGTTCAGGCACACCTCTGTTTATTGTGCTTTACTTCATTGTGCTTTGTAGAAACTTCGTTTTTTATAAATTGAAGGTTTGTGGCAACCTTGCATCAAGTAAGTCTATTGGCACCATATTTCCAAAAGCATTTGCTCACTTCATGTCTCTGTGTCCCATTTTGATACTTCTCACATTATTTCAAACTTTTTCATTATTATTATACTTGTTATGGTGATCTGTGATCAGTGACGTTACTACCACCACTCAATGAAGGCTCTGGTGCATTGATGGTTAGCATTTTTTAGCAATAAAGTATTTTTTTTTGCGGTACGAGGGCCTCTCACTGTTGTGGCCTCTCCCGCTGCAGAGCACAGGCTCCGGACGTGCAGGCTCAGCGGCCATGGCCCACGGGCCCAGCCACTCCGCAGCATGTGGGATCTTCCCGGACCGGGGCACGAACCTGTGTCCCCTGCATCGGCCGGTGGACTCTCAACCACTGCACCACCAGGGAAGCCCAATAAAGTATTTTTTAAGTTAAGGTGTATACCTTGTTTCTTTTAGATATAATGCTATTGTACACTTAATAGACTATAGTATAGTGTAAACATAACTTTTATATGCACTGGGAAACCAAAAAATTCATGTGACCCACTTTATTGCAATATTTGCTTTATCGCAGTGGTCTGGAACCAAATTCGCAATATCTCTGAGGTGTGTCTGTATCCTTTTTGGTCTTTTGAGGGGCAAGGGGCAAAAAATTAAACCTAAGTAGCAACAGCAAATTTTCCTTTCTAGTACAGAATAATAATCTCAATATTATTTCCTCTTCTCAGCTCATTTCATGAAGTTTCTTATATTGGAAAAGAAAAAGCTATGTGCCTTTCTTAAATGTTCACCAGTCACGTAACTTTCAACAGCCTTTTGAAAACTGGTCCCACCTTACCACCTCACACTAAAGTGTATAGAACACTCTAGAGCAGCTGGAGAGCTTATAAAGATCAATTTGCTGTGCTCAATTCAGTCTGTTCTTGAAACCTGGGTATCTGTTCCTCTCTCTGCTTCCTCAGATGTCTGTTACCTGATAAACAGCAAGGTCACACGTCTACATGGAATGCTGAATCAACCCTGAATCACCTTCACAATTTAACATATAACACATTTATAAAAGAATCTGGTATCATTCATGATGTAGGGGGAGAGAGGAGGGAGGGAGCAGGCAGAACGAAGCATCCTCCTTGTGGGCTGACCATATGAGAGAGAATCTCTGCAGGGGTAGAGCTGACCTTCATACTCAGAGCAGTAAACACAATCCATGGGCTAGGTTCGTCCTCAATTCTTTCCTGAACTTTCCCTTCCTAATGTACTGGTGCCTTTCCTCAAACTTCTTCTCAACGTCAATGACACCACTCAATCAGCTGCCATCCGAAGGGTCTCTAAATTGCTACGAGGATGAAACACCTTTTAAGGATGCTTTCATCTTCAGAGCCAATCATTTTCTTTAAAGAAAAGCGCTGTCCACGAATGATAACTTTTAACACTTGCCTTGGCAGCTAATTGCCTCCCTTTGTTCACAGAAATTCTCTGGGGAAGAGTAACAAAGAAGACAAAAAATAAACAGCTTGTTTTTCTCTCCTACTCTGATTATCATTAGTATCAAGAAAGAAAATCTCTTTGATGGGAGAAGTCCCAGGAGACAGTATGGGATGAGACAGGGATGTCTCTTTCAACCAGTAGTTAAGATTTTCCCTTAATCCTCAAATCACTGAAGAAATTGAAGTTTCAATGAGGGTTTAAACTGCAGAATGTGTACATTTAGAAAACAATGGCCTCCAACAGTGAGAGGTGATGTATAGCTGGGTCCCTCCCTGAGGCTGGGGGCGTGCTGTCCCACTTAGCCAATCAGCAAATGCCTAGGGCAGAGATGCTGCATTTGGCGGAAGACACTCACGTCCCAGCATCCCACACAAACAATGACCTTTCTGTTGAGCAGGTAACATACCAGGAGGCAAAAGGAGGAAGAGACACTAAGTTTTGAAGAACAAAAAGCCACAGTCACAGAAAGGGCTGATTTGGCCACAGTCTTGCCACTAAGGTACCCCTAACCCCATCCCCACAAGACAGGGGAAGGATGAGAAATACTCGGAGACCCCTTCATCAGAAGCCCCATCACTTGATTAGAATCGATACTGAGTAGAGAACAGAAGGTTAATCTCTCTAGGATGAGGTTTTTTTAAAAAAACGTATTCTATAAAATAAGAAGTGTGTGTGTGGGATCAACTATACTCTGATAAAAATTAATTCAAAAAAAAAGAAGTGCGGGGGGGTGGGGGGGAGAAGAATCTTTCTGATGTGAAACCTGTGAGTGAATGATATTTTCTAAAAATTTAGGGGCCGATAGGACAATTCCAAAAATAAACAAAAACGTTCTCAAGGGAAATTTACCCTGGATGAAACAAAACAAAACAAAACAACCAGCTCCAAAAATTAAGTTCTATCCGCTCAGGGTAGTAAAAATAAATACTCAGACAGCCCTCAAGACATGTCTTCCAGCCAGGCAATATCAGAACAATCCCATGGAAGGTTCTGGAGAAAGAGGAAGCCCGAAACCACAGAGCAGAAGTAGCCCCAGGCCGCAGCTGTCACAGGGAAGCCGCGCCCAGTGGCAATCCCTGACCAGGTCACTGAAAACAGCCAGGCGGAGGGGAAGCGGAGGTGGCTGGGAAATGAACCGATCTGACGGGCAATCCAGATGGGAACCGGAGGGACAGGAGCCCTGGCTGTGCCCGTCTTGGCTCTGCGGGGCCCTGGGAGCGGCCACCACGCCTGCGGTGCTCACCATCCTCTCCAGGGCACTGGGCGTCTGGGCAGCCTTGTCCAGGAGCTCGCTGTACTCCAGCTCCTCACACAGCCTCTGCAGCGTGTTGAGGGGCTCATTGAGTTCCACCGGCATGGCCACCTTAGACAGGTCCTTCCCGATGTTCGTTCTCAGGATGTTCCACAAGCTGACGTTACCGGACTTGGGGCACGGGGCCGGCAAGCACGTTCTTCTTTTGGACTTGACTTCCCCTACACTTTGGAGAACAGGCTCTGAAAGGGAAATAAGTCTGGTTGCCTTATAAGGATTTTCATTTTATTTTAAAACGGAAAAAAAATCCACCTTACTGAGCAAGTACGCCATGATACTATTAATCTCAGTTATCCAGATTATGGCTGAAGTCAGGAAATAAAAAGAATTCTGAGCAGCTAAATGAAGTACAAAAAATTATAAGCACTAAAACTCGTGGACTTTATTCATGGGGAGGTCTTCATACTCCTAATCAAAGGCTAGTTCCTCATAGCTTATATGCACTAAGAATAAAACTGGAAACTAGATTGCTATGCCCAGAGCGGTTACTTTTAAACTCTTTTTAAAAGCACTTCAAGTTCTGATAAAAACTTTTAAAGTCTTTAAAAAAAATCGTTTCCAATTCTGGTAAAACAATTGTGTTTATATTATAGGAAAATTATAAAGGAAACAAAAGTCATCGAATAACCCACTACCCAGAAATAGTAGCCATTTATATTTTGGAGTATTTTCATTTAGTGTTTTCTCCCTATAGCTGACAATGTTTGTATAGTTGAATGTTTTGCTTAATCAGTTAACATAAATATTTTTCCATGTTATTTAAAATTCTTCTAAAACATCATTTTTAATGACTGTAAAACAATTCCATGCTATGGATAAACTATAATTTATTGAATTATTCATCTGTTGTTGGACTTTTAGATTTGTTTCAATGTTTTGCTAAAAAAAAGTAGTGAATATTCCTATTCTTAGATATTTAATTATATCTGATTATTTTCTTAGAATATACAGAAGTGGGAATCATATACTGATTCATATGATCATACTGCTCTTCAGAAAGGCTGTATCAGTTTCCCATTTATCAGCAAGCATGTACCAGTGTCCATGTTCTGAGACCATTCCAGGCTTGTCAGCATTCATTCTGAATTCTTGGCAAATCGTCAGGTGGACAGCGCTATCTCCTTGTTTTAACCTACATTAAAAAAATTCCTAGTGTGGTCTGGAATGCTTTCATGAACATTTCTTCTTTTCTGAATTGTCCGCTTTCCTATTGACATATTAAGACATAATCTTTTGTTTTTGTATTTGTTTTACAAGTTAATCCCCATCTGACATTTATCTTTACATTTGGTCTATGCAGTTTTTTAATGAATGAAACATTTACATCTTAGGTTTTTACACCTATCAATCTTTTCCTTTGTGACAACTTGCATTACCTCATGCTCTGGAATTCTTTTCCCACCCCAACATAGCCTATTTTCAAATGAAATCTTTTGCATGACATCAACATATGAGAAAGTGCTATTTTATTATAGAGCCGATCACTCTGAATAACGAGGTTGCTTCGATGAACAGGAGAATATGAAAGTGAGGTCATACTTTGAAGTCTCATGTTCATCTAAGCAACCAATTAAATTCTGAATTTGTTTTAATTGCTCAACATGGGCAAAAATCAAGTAGATAGCTGCAAATGATGACCGTCTTTAAAAACAGCATTCCATGTAATCTCAAAATACTTTCTTTGATTACACTAAATTTTGAAAGAATACTATACTACTACTACTACTAATGGCTAATACATACCTAGCTTTTACTCTGTGACAGCCTTTCAAGAATTTTACGTATATTATCTCACTTATCCTTTGCAACAACCTCTTGAGATAAACAGAATTATTATCCCCATTTTACAGATGAAGAAACTGAGGCACAGAGAAATTAAGTAACTTGCCCTAGAACACATAACCAGTGAGTGGCAGGGCTGGAGTTAACCGAGGAAATCTGGTCCCTGAATCTATATTCCTAACCACTGAACCTCCACACAGCACCCATCACAGTGACAGATCCTATTATGTGCCTACTGATTTGGGTGGGGGGGGTAAATTAATAGGAAACATTCTAAATACCTACCATTTACTAAGGGCTCAAAGAAATTCTAGTGTGGTAATTTATCAAGACCTGGATAAATCCTATTTCCTTCTGTAGGCAATACTGTGTCCTAAGATGCAAGGTTTATTTCTCCATACAATCTTTTCAGTAGAGTACTGATGTGCAGAAATCTAACCTTCCAAATACTGCCAAAGAAGAAAGCTAGGTTTGCCCCAGTGTTTGTTCAAGCCAAGAAAATGTTGGTCAGTAATCTAGCAAAATGGCTGTGGAATAAGACAGAGAGACAGCCTTCACCTCTTATATGCTTTTCCTGGCTGGTGTCAACTCAGCACAGCTGTGGTCTTAGGTTCGGGGGCAAGTCCTCTGTTCCCGACTTCGACCTCTGAACCTCTATACCTCTGTTCCTCTTGGCCCCCTCCCTAAGGCCTCAAACAGAAGGAGGACTTCAGCATTTGTTCATCTTCTTCATCCACAATGAGAGTTCCCATTTAGTGTGTGTGTGCGTGTGTGTGTGTGTTGTTTGCCAAGGGAATAAGTGATGCCTCCTCATTTCTCTTTCAATTCGCCTCCTTATTTTTCTACGAAAACAAGTAGCGCATGAACGTGCTCCTATATTACTGGTCTTTGCCTTTAAATCACTGGTTCTCAGACTTTCCCACCAAAGGATTAATCTCTCCAAAAACAATTCAAGGAAGATACAAAGCATAATGAGCTTCTGACTTCTAGCAGGTGTGATGCTGAAAGGATATTCTTTCAGAGAACAGTAAATTTACCTACCTGCCTTTTTTGTAGTCCCCCAAAGAGTAGGCTTTTTTTTTTTTTTTTTTTTTTGCGGTACGCGGGCCTCTCACTGTTGTGGCCTCTCCCGCTGCGGAGCACAGGCTCCGGACGCGCAGACTCAGCGACCATGGCTCCTGGGCCCAGCCGCTCTGCAGCATGTGGGATCCTCCCACACCGGGGCACGAACCCGCGTCCCCTGCATCAGCAGGCGGACTCTCAACCACTGCGCCACCAGGGAAGCCCAAGAGTAGGCTTTTTGACATTCAGATAACAACTCATCATCATCGTATTTCACATATGTACTGAGCTGGCAAGCACTGATACATCAAAAAGGAACTGACATGGTCCTTGTCTTCCATGTAGATATAAAAATATGTGGTGTTCTGGCATAGATAAATCTAGAGACCCCAGGCATGCTGAGTACCAAGACTGGGAGTATTTGATGCTGCAGGACTCATATAGAGATCTGTCCAATGGGCAGATTCTTCTTAAGGATAGGTCACCTTCCTAAACAGGCTTCAGTCTGCTTACTGAACTCCTAAATCAGAGCTGTTTGGAGATAGCAGACATTCCAGGTACCCACCACGGTCCCAACTAACATTTCCTGGGCATCATTTTCAGTCTTGGGATCAACCAGTGATAAAGGGACATCTCAGGGTACCTTAAGCCCTTACCCCCACAGGGGGAGCAGTTTGTTAACTCTCAAATGCGTTATCTTGAAGAATCGGAAGCTAAATTACCGCTTAGATCAGACCTTTTACAATGTAAGTGCTATTGAATTCCTAAACTATGAAAACCACTAGAAACCTAAAGGAAAAAAGCTATATTCTAATATGTTTGCAGAGAGAATGTTGAATCAAATAAGGAATATCTGTAGTATTAATTTTTGATATTTATATGATAATTGGTATAACCTTACTTTACAAAATAGAAATTTGCACTAGCCAACAAATGTATTTGAATGAATAAATTTTTCACATGTGAGTGCCATGTCCCACCTAGATTATAAAACTTTGAGGGTGGGGACCATGTCTTAAGTTTCTGATGCAGAACTTGCTAAGTTCTGCTTGCAGCAGGTACCCTATGCATGCTTACTAGTATTCTGTAAAGATCCAAACACTCAGAGATCAAACAATTTAAGTCTTACCCAAAGTCTGTCTCTCATTATCTAAATCATTACTGAGATTATCTAAGGAAAGGTTGTCACTTATGTCACTGACATATGAATCATCTTCAGACATCTATGGGAAAGAAGAAATAATATACATTAGAGTAGACAAGCCAGATTTCATAAAGCCTTTACTTCAAATGATCAAATATTTTAGACCACACATTATAAACCTATAGAAATGATTTTGGATGCTGTTTTCATAAAGGCCCACACACCAGTCTGCCTAGGGGATGCTCACAGAAAATATGTTATTAAAATTCTTATACATTCTTGATTCATTCTCACAAGGAAAACACATGTAAACCCCAGATTTTAGTTATTATAAAAATTCTTATTAATTCTGACTGCTTTTTCAGAATTTGTTAGCGTTTGACTAGAAAGAGTTACAAATTGTCTTTTAACTATCTGTGAATGAAAGTATCTTCTATGGAAATGAATAGATAAAAAATATTAGAACTTCTATACCGAAGGGGTAAAATGATCAGTACTCACACTCAGAACATAATTATAAATTAATTATAACAACCATATTATAATAACGATAATAACCATAATTATATTATAAATTACTATAGACCAAATTCAATGAGGAGAAAATATACAAGGTGCTAACTTCTGACCCTGTAGTGGAAATAATACATTATCAAACAGCTAATAGTCAAAATCACTAACCTACAATTGAAAAGAGGTATAACAAATCAACTAACAGAAACCAGGATGTGCCCAACACCTACTTTCATAATTTTTGTTCCCGAAGATCTTGTATCTGTTTATGCTTTTTGAGGTATGAGTTATAAGAAGATCCTCAGAATGTAATGACAAAAAGGAGCCATTGAGTTTAGTGTTTCTAAACATGGGTATTTACTGAACGGGTATTGAACGGCAGCAAAAGAGATTTTGGAGGCACCTAACTGAAAACAGTGGTCAAACCTCATTTTCTGAAGAGCTTGGAGACAACAGAACTTCCTGTGCATCAAAAAACTCTGAAAGAGAGTCAGTGATGGAGAGCCTGCTTTCGTTGGAAAGCTGATGGACCAGAGTTCGATTGTCATCTCTGGAGTTTTCCTATTTGAAACACAAAACCGAAAATGCATATATTTAGAAACAGTCTCAAGAGAAGCAAAATAAACAACTGATTTTGCTGCACAATACACACGGTCACAGGCCCAGGCAAACAGGCGGCTCAAAACAGAGGGCAGGTTCAAAGTTGAGGAGAAGCAAACCTCACACAAAACACGGTGAAAAGCCTAGGTCTCCCGCAAATGGGCACCTTGTTTACAGGCACTATCACAGCTCAGGCACACACAACAAACCTCAAAGCAAAAAAAAGACTGTGCAGGTCAGTTTTTATTCCACTTAAGACGGGAAAAATTCCAACACTCTCTGAATCATATCCTCTTATTCTCTACCACTGCAGGATGTTTCTTTTCATCCTAAAATTTCCTCTGAATTGTACTCAATGCATGTCCTTGCATGGCTGGTTCAGAGCAACACAGCTTTCTTCTGCCTCAATTCTCTCGCAGAGGCCAGTGTGCTGCTCATGAGGCGTCCCTTGACAAATAAACAGAGTGTTTCGGTCCAGAAGTGCCCCTGGTGGTAGATCATTCATTATTCATGGATGAATGAGATAAATTCTCTTTGTCTGTCTCTCTCCAACCACACTGGCTGCAAGGGAAGGAAGTCCCCAATCCCCTTCCCACCCTCTCTGCAAACAACACAATAGAATATAGGGATTTTCTCCTCTTGCTGGCCCTCCATCCCTTGAGTCACTGAGTCTGGACTTTTCCTCTGGAAAGGACCTAAATACTTTGGGAATATCTTTTGTATGTTATTTGCAAGTGAAAATGCAATTTAACTCAAGAAATTGAGCAACTGCATTGTGCCTGTCATGGCGGGATACGATGACGAATAAGACAAGGTTTTTGGCCCGAGTAAGCGGTGTAGAGGACGCATCCAACACACATGAGCCCAAGACTATGGAACAGAAAGCGCTACAGAAGCGGACAGGAAGGAGAGGTTGATTCTATTAGGGGGACTTTGGTTGGGGAGGGCTTCACAGAAGAGGTGATGCCTAACTAGACCTTGAGGAATGAGAACATACTGAGGACGACATGATTTGATTCCTTTGAATCAGAGAAGACTGTCACCTGAACTTCCTGACAGCTCACATTTCTCACGGGGCTGATAAAGGAGCTGCTTATATATCCTTATGTATTGGATAAATGAGTCGCAGAATAATTTGGGAAACAAAAGTTAACGCATATTATATCTTTCCCAGAAGTTTTATGAGTTCAGGACACACTCCTCAGCCTCATAAAATGGAGATGCTCTAACAGGAGGGCCCCAGCAGACGTTCATAATTAATAAAGGTCAAATGGTCTCTTTATGGAATGTTTACTTCAGGAACACATTTAAATGTGTATCCCTTTCTCTTCTAGACAAGGTATTCATTGAAAGATCCTACCCATTTTAATATCCCTACAGCCTTTTGAAAAGCAGGCTTCTTCTCCATGCTAACGAACAAGATCACTTAGGATCTATAAATAAGCATCACATCTGTCACCTTTAAAGGAAAGGTCTCTCTCCTCAAAAGAGGAGACATGGTAATGAATAACTGAGCTCCCTTAATGTTCACTGAAACAACAGAACAGTCCTGTGTCTTTGCTGTGTCACTGCCACATAAGACTCTAATGATTTATTTACTTGTTCTCCTCATTAATTTATTAATAGTCACTCTGGCTCTTTCTGTATTTCTTCTTCCTAGGCTGATGGGTCAGGAGGATTTCTTGCCTGATCAACAGTGAAAATAGCACGCCTGGCCCCAGCCCTTTCTGCTGTTCCATTACTCCAGCAACTTCCTATTGATAGTCACCGAAAACTCAACAGGACTGCAGGAGCCTCCAGCCCTCAGCCCAGTGTCCTGCACAGCCCAGGACCTCATGTATTAAAATATTAATCTAGTCAGTTCAATTTAATCATATCCCCTCAAGTTTGTAAGGTATAAGTGGTTGTTTATCTTTTTTTACATTACAAAAAGATAGAGAAAAAGGAGGGAAGGGAACACGCATAATCCCATCACACTAAATCAACCACTATAGGCATTTTGATACATTTCTCTCCAATCCTTCTTATACATATAGCTTTGCTTTGTTTTGAAATAGTTGTCATCTATCTATCTAATTTTATAAATTTCCTCCAAACAACATTGCTCCATAACTTCAGTGACATGGACATATATACACATAAATACACATATTTACCAAATGTAAAATAGATAGCTAGTACGAAGCAGCCACAAAGGACAGGGAGATCAGCTTTGTGACCACCTAGAGGGGTGGGATAGGGAGGGTGGGAGGGAGACGCAAGAGGGAAGAGATATGGGGATATATGTATATGTATAGCTGATTCACTTTGTTATAAAGCAGAAACTAACACACCATTGCAAAGCAGTTATACTCCAGTAAAGATGTTTAAAAAAAAAAAATTAAATTAACACTTGTTCTGAGGATAAAGGTAGTACGTGCTCAAAATAGAAAATACAGAAAGATGTAAATAACATAAATATCACTTAAAATCCATCACCCAGATGTGGCCCCTATTAACCTGTCAGTGTATTTTTTGTATTAAAATATTTGTATATAGATTTTTTTTTAGTTTGAAAAACTGGGATCACACTGTACTTAGTCTTTATTTAGTCTGCCACATTCACTTAACATTATATTGTGAACTTCTCCCTAGGCTGCTAAAATTTCTCTGAGACAATGAACTTTACTTGATAGATTTACTATATATGTGTGTCACAGAGTAACCATGTCATTTATTGGAAATTAAGGGTGTTTCCAAATTTGTAAAGATGGTGAACACATTTGCAAATGTGTCTTGCTCGTATGTCATTATTTCTTATAATCAGTTCTCAGAAGTAATTATTAAAAATGTTTAAGGCAGGGCTTCCCTGGTGGCTCAGTGATTGAGAGTCCGCCTGCCGATGCAGGGGACACGGGTTCGTGCCCCGGTCCGGGAATATCCCACATGCCGCGGAGCGGCTGCACTCGTGAGCCATGGCCACTGAGTCTGTGCGTCCTAAGCCTGTGCTCTGCAACGGGAGAGGCCACAACAGTGAGAGGCCCGCGTACCGCAAAAAAAAAAAAAAAAAAAAAAAAATCCAAATCTAGTCAACATTTCTTTTGTAATTTTTTCTATTGCTTCCACATTTAGGAAGTCCTCCCTACTCTAGCCATTTGTTAAACATTTAAATCAATATTTTTCAGTTTGAATTTCATTCATTAGTGATTCATTTTAGTGTGCAATGGAAAGATTTATTTATTTATTTTTTAATTTTTTGGCTGCGTTGGGTCTTTGTTGCTGCCCATGGGCTTTCTCTAGTTGCAGCGAGCGGGGTCTACTCTTCGTTGAGGTGCGTGGGCCTCTCATTGCGGTGGCTTCTGTTGCTGTGGAGCACGGGCTCTAGGCACGCAGGCTTCAGTAGTCGTGGCACGCAGGCTCAGTAGTTGTGGCTCACAGGCTCTAGAGCACAGGCTCAGTAGTTGTGGAGCACGGGCTTAGTTGCTTCGTAGCATGTGGGATCTTCCCGGATCTGGGCTTTAGTTTCCTTGTCTCTAAAATGAAACTACCGTCACCTACCTCATAGAGCTGTGGTTAGGATTTTGTGAGACAATGCATTTAAGTGCACATGGAATACAGCAAACGAGCAATTAAAAGAATCAAAAGTCTTGTTTTAGAGTTTTCTTTCAAGTTCTTGCTTGTTTGGTCTCTTAAATGGACTTTAGATTTAGTAGGATATTATCCCGAAAGTCACTTGGCCTTTCATTTGGAGTCTAAAATAACATAAAATAATCTAAGCACTCATACTTCATAATAGTAAATGTTCAGATTCAGAAATTTAAAATAGAAGGACTTGATAGGATATGAGAGTAACTTTTGATAGGAGGGGAGATTTTAGAATCCAGGTAGATTTTAGAACACCAAAGATGGGTAATTTGTGCAGCTAAAAGGTAACAGAAGGGAAGCAAAGAAAGTAAGAGGGCCTAAAAACAGAGCACCCTGGGCTGACCCCAGTGTGGGAACTGTCATTCCCACAGTGTTTGAGAAGCCTGTGAGCTACCCAAGGAAAGGACATTGGAGTCAAGCTTTCAGGCTCTGGGGCAGCCATTTCCACTCACTCTCTTATTTCCTGATGACTTATTTCCTGATGACTTTTCCCATACTGGGAAAGTCAGCCTTTCCTTTTCACACTCTGTGAAAAGCAGGATAAAACACGGAAAACAGAAAATCACTGAAAGAGGAACCAGATCAGTGAGACAAGCAAATCATCAATTCAAGACATGAGCAGGCTGTTTTGGAAGCTGTGAGCTTGAGGGATGTTATCACTCCTCTTCAAAGACAATGTACAGCATTTAAGCCTTCAGGTGCATTACTTGTGAGATCAATTTAAAAGCATGCATTTTAAAAGACCTGTGATTTTGGTTTCCTTTCCCAAATGTAAATAGCCCCAAGGGTACGTACGCATTGACTATAAATTTACAGAACCATAAATGAAGGGTCAACTTGCCATTTATCTATTTAATGGCTTGTTAAATAAACTAATGTAATTAGGTGATCATTTCAAAGGTAAGTGCTGCCTGGAAGCGGGCACCAAACCCCACAGAACGCCATTGCGTTTGGCAGCAAGCCACCCTGAGTGACGGCTGGCCTCAGTGACTGAGCCCTGATACAGCAAACCTGTATCACCAGATTCAGAGACAGCCCTCCTGGTAAGCATGTTTCTTTGCCCAGGCCTGAAATGAAGGCCCCTTTAGGTAATGTTTAGGTGCTCAGTCTTGCAGGGGATTCAGTTTGGGTCTGGGCTAAAGGATAGATGTATATGTACAACTGATTCACTTTGCTGTACACCTGAAACTAACACAACATTGTAAATCAACTCTAATAAAAATTTAAAAAATAAATAAGGTGATTGAAAAGATCTCTTGGGGGCAGGGAAGATGCAGAATTTCATGGTCAACCACTGACATGTATCTCAGAAGTAATAAGAGGTCCTCCAGCCCTGCGGAGAGAGGGTACCACCCTCATCAGAAAAGGGTCCCATCAGCTCAGGACACAGCCTGTGCTTCACATGAAGGTGGATGCCTGGGCCTTTCAGTCTGATTGATTCCAGCATCTAATCTTCCCGTCGCCTGACACAACAACTTTCCAAGGAGTAAAGGAATTGTATCAGGCTTTTGTTTTCTTTGAGGACAGAAAAAGGAGGACGACGAATTAAGATTAAACATTAGAAACTCCTTTAAAAAATCTACAATGCCCACCTCTTGTACCTGACCTTCCTTTTTTTTTTTTTTTAATGCACTCACTCTAATACATTTGTTAATGAAAAATTTAGCACAATTGAGGCAGGCATATAAACGTAAGAGATTACTAAAAACAATTTTGACCTTCATTACCCTTTTCTACTGATTTTTTCAAGTAATCCACTTGTATTTTTCTGAACTTTCTCATTTTAAACACAGTCAAAGAATATTTTGGATAAACATCCCAAGTCTTGAGAACAGACATTTTTAACATACTATGAACTGACCAAGACACTCAACTGTAATAATTCTCCCCCTCTGAGGGTAATCACAGGAAAGGGAGAAGGAAACAGCCACATAGAAATAGGCCAGTGGTTCTCAGAGAGGGAGCAAAAGAAGCTGGCTGGGAACTGGGATGCTATAGGTTGGAGAAAGTGAGGGTTTTTTCAGAAGTAACAGGAGAAAACATTTGTCTCTGCACAGTCCCCACTCCAGTAATATCAAGAGAAAAGAGTGATCCTTAGGAGGAAAAGGGGGTAAAGAAGTACAAAGGGAGGAAGAGTTCCAGGGGGAAAAAGCAGTTTAGAAATGCAGCTAGCAGCATACTTTCAAGGAAGCCTTGGAATCCTCAGCTGCCCGTGGTGAGGGAAGCACAACTCCCAGGGGCAGCAGGGAGGCCTGCGGGGACAAGGCGCGGCGACATTACCCACCTCTGCCAGACGATCACCCGACTTGGCAGCAACTGGGCGGTCGAGGAGCAGAGACTCAGCATGGATTCTGCATAAGCGTTCTTTAAGATCTGTGTTTTGTGCTAGGGCCTGGAACACGTTAAAAATAGTGGGGCTCCGTTAATAAATGGATGTTTCAGAAAAGCACAGCAGCGGGCCCAGTGTGGCGGAGCCCTCGGGGGCACTTCCTCGACTATTTTTCTTGAATGTTATCCAACAGGATACCCCTGAGATGCCTGGCAGATACAAGATATTAAACACTGGAAACGGAGGTCCTTCTCGAATCTCATTTCCAGGGATGGAAGTAGGGTTAGTAAGGCTTTCCTTTCGGTGGAGAAGGAAATCACAAACACCTACAGCTTTTATTACTCGAGGTTTCTCGGCCCCTCCTCCTTCCGAGCTGCCTTTAGACTCTGACTACCTCCCTCTAAAGATCCCAAGCTTCTCTCTCTCATCTTCAATAAAAATGCTGCTCTTACCCCTTACGATTGGACATATTTTAATGTTATTTAATAATCACACTAGTTGAATTGGATCTTAGGAAGTGTGCTGAGAAGATTTTGTGGAGGATTAATTTTACTGTTTTACAATATAGGTATTCATTGCTTTATATTCATTCTTCATGACTAAGATAGTTTATTAAAAAAAAAAAAAAAGCTTACTTACCTGGGTAAGGGCTAAGGACCAGGGCCCTGGGAAGGGGGCTGTGAGATGTGAGCTCATGTCAGCCCACCCAGATCTCTTATTTCTCCCTGGACAGGCGTGATTCCCTAGCCCATCCTCCCAACTAGGAGAGTAAAGGAAGGTGTTTCTTTCATGCTGGTATCCCCTGTGACCAACTGTTCTCCAGATGATCTGTTTTTAGAAAGGGACAACTTCATCTGATTCACCCACACACACTCCCACAGTCAGCTCCCCAGGTGCTTGTACACAGATCCATCCTGTCTGTCTGTCTTCCTGACTCTCTTCTGAGAAGCTCAGAGCCTTTCCCATTCATCAGGGCCCTCAGGGTCTAGCTGCTGAGAGCATAGAATGATGTCTATATTTACCCACTGCCTGGATCTCAAACAAGAATTTTGGCTTTATTTTTTAGTACTCACAGATGGAAAGGGTTATCGGGAAATCCTCAAGGGTCATTTAGGAAACACCGAGTAAATGTTTCTTAAATCACACAACTACATCTAATAACCTCTACCGGCACTCACTTTGGCCAATATGTTGCTGGCGTCTTAGTGTAAGTGGCTAGAATCTATACCACTGGCTAGAATTCTCCATATGGTCTGAAAAATGTGCTATTTTAGTAGCTTCTCTTTCCTTTGTAAGCCACAGGCAGAAGAAAGAAAAACACAAAGATTGCACATAGAGCACAAACATATTCATTCTGATAGCCCTGAGATAACTCTAAAATTCTTATTTTTAAAAAACAAGTCTTGAATTTAATCAGGAATCCAAGACAAAAAGGAAAGGATCATTCTGTTTTATCTTAAGTTTCCAAAATCCTTACCATGGGTGAGGGAGAACTCCTTAGAGAAGGTAGTGACTCTGGACTAGGATACCATGGCCAGGTGGGTCTCATGGCCTCTACCAGACCAGCAGATTAACAAAATGAGGCCAGACCTCCACAGGACGAGGGCAGGGGACAGGAAGACGACAGTGAAAAGGACTTTGGGGAGCCCATCAGAGGTACCTTCTAAGTGCACTAAAGGCCACCCTACTGGGAACAATAAGAAATGCTTTTACATCTAAAAAATAAACTTAAAAAAAGAAAAAGAAAAAAACCACCCTGCTTCCCTCAAACCAAAGCAGCACCCAGTGTGTGGCTGGCTGTCCATTACAATCCAAAAGGGGCGTTTCTATCTCTGGGTCTACAACATTAAGACTCTAAACATGGAGTAAATCTATGTTATTTTTTATTTCATTCAAAGATAACCTACTGGAAATATTCAACTGAGCGAATATTCCTTAAGTATCTTACAATGACAGTATGTACCACTGGTAATGTATTTACCATTAACGTTACACCAAAAGCATTGCTTTACTTTTCTCAGTAATATGATGAGTAGAAAACATGGGTGGGTATTTTCTAGTTCTCTCACTGCCTGAATTGGCTTCTGAAAACAAAATCCTAAAATTCACCTCCCCTACCTGACCCTACATAGAAAGTTCAGTATTGCTTCAGATGGTGATTTCACATGTGTGCACGCACTCTCCCCCTTTTCACAATAAGTGTTCCACATACAAGCAAAGAGTAGGAGCAAATAAGTATGTTCTTTTAAAAGTTCTCCAGATTTTTTATAGATACAGAGATAATAGCCAGACATTGTCAGCTATTCAAAACAGAGTTCTAGGATACTGCACTTCAATGGAGTCCAGCTCTTCTGAGGAGTAAACTGGAATCGATGAAAAAAAAGGAGAGAGAGTGAATGACAGGACGGCTTACTGAAAAACATCTGGGGCTTGGCAGTGATTTTTTCTGTTGTTATGAAGGCACAATGATTGCCTGACACTCCTTATGACATCTCTTTGTGCCCATGGGGGGAGCAGGTGGGAGCTGAACGTTTGTACTATCAAATCAAATCACTTTTTTGTCTTTGAAAGAGACGTGGTATAAACAGGTAGATAGGATCAATGCTGGGCAGCAGAGAAGAGTGTGAATTCAAAATTTCACTCTGTTGCCTGTACCTGTCAATTTGGAAAGTCAATCTAAGCTTGTGAAGTCTTAGGTATGGAAATCTGCAGACTGTCAGACTTTGTAAGCATTAACAAACAAATGTCAAGACAACCATATAACGAGAGCTTCCCTAGTGGCACAGTGGGTAAGAATCCACCTGCCAATGCAGGGGAGACGGGCTCAAGCCCTGGTCGGGGAAGATCCCACATGCCGCAGAGCAACTAAGCCCTGTGCCACAACTGCTGGGCCTATGCTCTAGAGCCCGCAAGCCACAATTACTGAAGCCCGTGCGCCTAGAGCCCGTGCTCCGCAACAAGAGAAGCCACCGCAATGGGAAGCCCGCGCACCGCAACGAAGAGTAGCCCCCGCTCGCCGCAACTGGAGAGAAGCCCGCGCAGCAACAAAGACCCAACGCAGCCAAAAATAAATAAACTTAAAATAAAAACATATAACGAAAGCTTTACAGAAACAGAAAACTCAAGATAAATAGGAGGAAACCAAACAGAGTATCTAATGCTCAGTGAAATACTAGCTACTAAGATTTCGAGTAGGCTCAGCTTTGGTGTTGAGAACAAGCAGATCTGATGAAAGGTTAGAATGTAATTTGGATAATGTGTTTGGTTTTCTCATGAATTTTCAACACAACCTTGGAAATCATGAATTTTCAACATAACCATGGCAATGGAAAATATAAAATGTTCATGAGCCTGGACACACTGTCAGCCATTTCCATGACACAGACGTGTAACTTACAGATGACAGGGCGTGCTTCAGACCAAGGACCTGGGCAGAGGGGGAGACAGAGACATCCTGCTCCATCAGCTGCTTCAGTTTCTCTCTCTCCGTTGATATGGTGTTAAAAGCTGACCTTAAAGTGAAGTAGACTATAAAGATATAATCATTATAAAAAGGAATAAAAGAGTCATAATTAAAAACAAGATATAGAGAGATGTATTTCTTATAAAAGAACTTAGAAAAGTAACAGCCACGAATACTTTGCGTCCAGCAAATGTGCACCTAATTGACTTTAAAAAATACATCTGAAATGTAATACCAAGAGTGAACCCTAATGTAAACCATGGACTCAGGGTGATAATGATGTTTCAATGTAGGTTTATTGATGGTTAACAAATGGACCACTCTGGTGGGATGCTGATAGCGGGGGAGGTTATGTATATATGTATGGGGGAGCGGGTATGGGAACACTCTACTTCTTGTTCAATTTGCTATGAACCCAAAACTACTCTAAAGAATAAGATCTATTAAAAATTTGAAAATCACACATATTTGTCAATTCCGAAGTCCCTATCCACTATAAAATGCCATGATTTTATGAGCTGTCACCAAGATATTTTGACACTTGAAAGGACTATACTTCTCAATTATCAACATTTAGTTTTGTTTGTATCTCCAAAGACTGGAAATGTTTGAAAACAGAACTTATTGGTTGTCAGAAGGAAAATGGTAACGATGCAGAGGAGAAACTAGACAGCACCTTAACTAGGTGTCCAAAATTAATCACTAGTGAGAGTCAGATGGACTTCGTGTACCTTGGGACTTTGTGTGATACCCTTAAAAAGACACACTATTGTTTTTGTTGTACACAAGGCAGAGATAGGCCATCTGAATCTGCTCAGGAGGAAACATCAGACAACCCCAAAATGAGGACCATCCTATTTTTTCAAATTGGCCTGTATTCTTCAAAAGTGTCAGTTTCATCAGAGAGAAAGACAGACTCAGGAACTGCTCCTAATTATAGGAGACTAAAGAGGCATGATAACTAAATGCACTCTATGACCACAGACTAGAGCCTGTACTGAAGGGGAAAAGAGCTATTAAGGGATGTTATTTGGATATTGACAACATTTGAATATGGAAGGCAGAATAGGTAAAAGTACTGTTTCAATGCTAAAATTCCTGGATTTCATAACTAAACTGTGGTTAAGTAACGGAATACCCCTATTCTTAGGAAATATACATATAGCATAAAGGCATAAAAAAAGACATGATGTTTGATTCCTATTTTCACATGGATGAGAAAAAATAAATGCACACACATCTGCATATGTGTGTGTGTGTGTGTGTGTGTATATATATATGTCTCTGTGTGTGTGTGTAGAAAGAGATAAATGCAGCACAATATTAAAAATGGTGAATTTGGATAAAAGAGTTCTTTGTATTATTCTTGCAACTTGTCTATAAGTTTAAAATTATTTCCAAAAAGGTGTTACCTACCCTCTTCCTTGTTAGTCCTTCCAGCTGCCTGACCCAGAATTCCCCACCTCTCAACGTGGCATTCCACAATTGGTTCACTTTAGTGAGCGTTCAGGTACAATGAGAGCTCAGTGTTATTAGGCACTCAGATGCCTGAACTGAAGTTTTAAAAACCGTTATTAGGTACAGCAAAAAGTTCACCAAGTTTTGATCACATAATGTACAAGTTACCTCCTAGGGAAAAGGCAATTGTCATCCGAATTGATCATGGAAATCACGTGTGAATATTTCCAATCTCCTTTATTCTATTTTGTTTTAGAAAGGCAGGAAGAAGGAAGAGGCTGAGACATACTTCTACTCCAATGGCCTGGCATAAGACTGAACTGCCTGGTGCTGCACTTTTTGAGGTACTGTTATTCCAGAGTGGCCGATTCAGTATCACAGAAACTAAATATGCATGACTGAATTACTCCCTTCATTCCACAGCCACGCAGACAACTGAACCTCTCTCGATAGGCTGTCCCTAAATTGTCTGAGGTTGTGGTGTTAAGCCATAGACTTAGAGCATCTTCACAAAATCACAGGACAAATAAGCAATTTGTTTAAATGCACACACAAATTATGGTGCTTCTGTTGACAGAAGACAGGGGTCAAGGGTCAATAGGTACTGAATTTTCTAATAGTGTCTATGGAACATGCTTAGCTCTTTGATTTAAACAATTCAGTTGAGCACAATAACAGGCAGCACAACAGAGCCACCAATAGTGTGAGTTCCCACATCAGCCCTGGGTTCTTCCCAGCTCCATCACTTACTCACTGCAGGACTTCGGACAGGTATATTATGCACCTGGACCCCAGTTTCCTCACTTGTAAATAGGGATAATAATAGCACTTACTTCATAAGATCATTATGGGGATTAAATCAGATAATGTAGGTAAAGCACTTAACCCAATGCATCGCATATAATAATAAATGCTACTGCAATAATAATAGTGGTGGTGATGAAAGAAACATACGAGGCTGAAAGTGGTGATGGCTGCAGTCTTTTGAAATATGGGCAGCAGTTTTAGGATACTTGAGTCTCTTGCTGGAACATCATTTTATAAATAAATGCACAGGGTAGAAGTTCTATGAATGAGAGATTGACCAGAATCTACGGAGCAGTAGAAGCAGTGGAAGCTCTCACCCAGAAAGCAACAAGCCCTGCAGTTAACTCACTCACTGCATCTTAGGTACTTTTAGATAGGCACCCCTACCCCTTGCAACTCCACAGGATACCCATGCCCATCTGAGTGGGTCCCTGGGGGAACACCTCGTCACTGTCATTTTTGGGTAAGTTTACTTAGTATCTTACTACAATTCTTTTCTTAATTGAGGTATAACTGACATACAACATTATACTGGTTTCAGGTATACAACATAATGATTCAATACTTGTATACATTTGGAAGTGAACACCACAATAAGTATAGTTAACATCTGCCACTTTACACAGTTACAAAAAAATTTTTTTTCATTGTCATGTTTATTGCTCTAAATTAAACAGACATGGCACTCAGCTGGCTGTCACTTTACCAAATCAATTCCCTTGGCTTTCAGATGGCCTGCAGTAAAACAAGGCATTCAACCAAACTAGAAGATTACTATTACTATTTGTAAATGAAGATTTCTCTCACTGCAAAGATTTTCCACAGGTTGCAGGAGATGTATCCCTAAAACCTCACTTTTTTCCCTTCCAAGGCAGAATGTGAATATCCACTTCTATCTGGAGTACCCTGACCCCAGTCCTACACTAGTCCTTGCTTTCCCATCCTAAATCTGCTCATCAAATATGGTAATTTTTGCTTGTATTACTAATACAACACTCTCTCACAAAATCTCCTTGTAACAAGAAGCAGCAGCATGATTTCTGTTCAGTGGAAAACAATTAATCATAGAAGATAATTACAGAATTTGAGAGGCCAAAGAGTCAGGACAACTACTTTAAGACATTTAACAAATGAGGCAGCTGAGGCCCAGAGAAGTTAATCAATGAGGTGAAAGTCCCACAGCTAGTCATAACAGAGGTGGCCTAGTTGAATGCAAGTTTTCTGACTTAGCTTGTATAGAGGGTTAGCTCCAAAAAGGCTTATTATTTACAATGTTTGCTGACATATGTTTCCAGGAACTTTAGTTCCAGAGCGATAATAGCTGACAGCAGTTTGGGGAAGAGGGAGGAGATTTTCCCTAACAACGTTGAAAATTTGAAAATCATTAAGTTAAACAAAGCTAACAGGCTTCTCTGCTGCAGGACTTCTCTTGGGCCTTTAATATTTACTGCTTCTTGTGTAAATGCAAAGCAGACTATAGTCAGCAGTGTTTTCCAGACATTTTAAATCATGGAATTCTTCTGTTTTTTAAAGTGTTATATGGGCAAAGTGTTCCATGAAATACATTTTGGGATATGTAAAAGCTAATATACGTAAGGCAAATTACTTATGACTTTTAGACTTTAGTACATTTTGTTCTCTGTTTGCTTATATATATGTCAACATAGACACAAAGCCAGACACATGAACCAATGAGAATTAGTTCAATGATACACCATAAAAATCAAATTTATAGTCTAATATATACAACAAAGACTTTTTAGGATGGGTGTATATTAGTTGCCTACCATTTGATCCAACTTCTATGAGACAGGGAGAATTCAGATGCATTTAACAAGCTGAAAAAAAGTAGGTAATATAAGACTATTTACAACAACAATGGAATTCTTGCCTTGAGCTCAGCTGCTCTGAAGTCATGGTCAACAGATTAGTGATGCAGGTAAGAAAGTACAGTAAAAATTGTCTAACAAAATCAGGCTTACAAAGGAAGAAAAGACAAGATGCTTCAAAAGTTTGAATGGAAGTGAGAAAGCAGGCAAGGTCACAGGACACAGGGAGAACCTGAGAACTGTCTTCATTTCATGAGGCCTCTGAATTACAGCCTCTGTAGAAGGGACTCCCCGAGATCTTTCAGTCTCTGCAAGTATGCTCTAAAACCACAGGAATGAAACAAAGCTTGCTGGGCTCCCTGTGGAATTCACTGTTCGCAAGCCCGTGGGGCGTGGGCTATAGTTGAATAGGTGTTCCTGGACTTTTCTCGGAGCACAAACCTTGACCTAGTCTAGGTATGTGGCAGCCCTGCAGCCAGCTGCTTTTCACAAAGCCCAAAAGACAGAACAGCTGGCTGAGGCCCATTATAAACCTTGCACAATGTCAGGCCCTCTGCAGGAGGACAGGGTCAGGGGATCAACTCAATAGAGCAAACTCTGTCCTTCTGAGGAAGCAGCTTCTTCAAGGCAGGTAAAATCAGGATAGCTCCCTTCCGCAGGGAGGCACTATCTTCTCATTTTTAAAGAGACAGTGCATATTATTAAAAAGTAATGGCACTGTATAGGAATTTCCTCCCACAAAACCTAAAATGAAACAACCTAATTACAAGTGGTCCTTTAATACTAGAGAACCATACTGGGGTGTGTGAAGATCTTTAAAGGGGTGGGGCAGGTAATTCTTCCCATTTTACAGATAAGTTGTACTGCCAAACATGGACAAGGTTCTAATGGTCACTTGGACAAGAGTTTGAGGTAGGAATCTGTAAAGAGCATAAAATAGTTTCCTCATAACCAACGTGTTTTATTTTAAGTTTGCAGGGTAAGGGAAAAGAGCCAAAGGAATCAGTGATGTAAAGGAAGAAAAATACAGGGTGATGAGAGAAAAGCAAAATAGGAAACATCTTCTCTCCTCCCACTTCAAGTACTGCCCTTCCATTTAAAAAATTTTAACTCATCTTCTCCTTTAAAAAGTGATAAATCTATGATAATTTTTTTTAAAAAGCAGAATAAGTACTCCCAGTCTCCATCACTAAAATGCTGGTATGTATCCTCTCAGACTTTTTTAATATGCCTATATATGCCAGATTTATATAGTTTATTTTTTCCAAAAAAAAAATGGGATCATACCTTATATTTTTTGCTCAATATGTTGTGTCAATCTTCCAATACCTATAAAAATAAAAATAACCCTGGCTACCCCATCTGTGAAGGCAGTGAGACACCAGGTGAGGAGCACAGACTCTGGGGTCAGGCAGGTTAGAATTCAAGTCTCAGGTTGGCTACTTTCTACCATGGGACCCTCACGAAGTTCTTTGGCTTCTCTAAGCCTCAGGTTTCTTACGTGTGCACAGATAAGAGGTTACAGTCATACACACTCTGCGGGTTGCTGCTAGAATTCAATGAAATACTGCATGTTAAGTGCTTAGTAGCAAATACCTGACATGACACTGTGTTCGATATAAGGTAGATATTATTATTGTAGCTGTTGAGTATTCTAGTATATGATTACATTGCATTTTAAAAATCCAATCCCTCTACTGTCAGGCATTTAGGTTATTTCTAATTTTTTTTTAAACTTTCTATTGTGAAATTTTTATAGACTCACAGGAAGTTACAAGAACAGTACAGAGAACCCCTGGGTGCCCTACATCCAGTTTCCCATGGTGGTAACATCTTACATAACTTTGGTACAACATCAGACCTGGGAAATTAACATTGGTATAACCTACAGCTCTTATTCAGATTTCACCGGTTTGACAGGCTCTCACTTGTGAATATGTGTACACGTATGATGGTCAATGCAATTTTATTGTATGTCTAGATTCGGGGACCCACCACTAGAATCAGGATATAGAGCTTTCCATCACTACCAGGATTCCTCTTACTACCCCTTCATAATCATACTTGCCCTCCTCCTTGTCCCTGACCCCTGGCAGCCACTAATCATTTCTCCATCTCTATGCTTGTATCATTACAAAAGTGTTATTAATAAGTTCAATCATACACTATGACACCTTTTGAGATTGGCTATTTTAGGTCAACATGATGCCCTTGAGATCCCCTCCACTGTGGCGTGTATCCACAGTTCATTCCTTTTTATTGCTGAGTAGTGTTCCACTGCATGGATGTACCACCTTTTGTTTAACCATTCATCTGCTGAAGGACATTTGGGTTGTTCCAGTCTTTGGCTGATACAAATAAACCTGCTCTGAACAGTTGTGTATAGGATTTTGTGTGGACTTAAGTTTACATTTCTCTGGGATAAATGCCCAGGAATGTGAATGTTGGGTTGTATGGTAAGTACATGTTTGGTTTTATATAAAACTGCCGAACACTTGTCCAGAGTGGCTGTACCATCTTGCATTGCCACCAGCAATGGATGAGAGATCCAGTTTCTCTGGATCCTTACCAGCTGTCAGGTTTTTTTTCTAAATTTAGCTGTTCTATTAGGTGCATGGTAATGTCTCACCATGCTTTTGATTTGCATTTTCCTAATGATGGTGAAAATCTATTTCTAATTTCTGATATGATAAATACTGCTATGATGGATATCTTTGGATAATTTTAAAATTAATTCCTATGAATGAATTCTTCAAAGTGGAATTGCTGGATAGGCAGACTTTTTTAAAACTTGAAACATGATGTCACATGCCCTCCAGAAGTACCAATTTACACTCTCATCAGCAGCATAGAAATTGCTCAGCCTTTAAAGTATACTTAAGGCTCTCACCTTCCCCCCTACAGAGTTAAAAAGAAACTTCTTGCCAATACACTCTGTACTACCAGGGAAATAAAATAAAAATTAGATTGCCTGAAATCCTAATAGAGCAGAAAACAAACCAACTAAGATTCCCCTCTCCAAGGACATCCCACATTCAGATGAACATTTAACATTTTCATCAAACACATTAGGAAGAAAGAAAACTCATTTACCTTTATGGGCAATATGACACAGATCTTCTTGCATCTTAGAAAACTCTGATGAGGTTTCAGAGCCATCGGAATAATTTTTGTCTTCTCCAAAATCTAGTGTTGACAAATTAGGATTGGAGGAATGCAGTCTTACTGGGCCAGAAAAAGTTTTGGGGACCTGAAGTGACACCAAAGGGAGATATTTCTTTTTAGATACGAATTGCTTAGAATATTTACTTGTTTCTAGGACTGGAAAGTACTAAGAACATTCTGTAGAAAAGTCTTTCTATTGAGTGATAACTTATAGGAAAAGACTTGTCACAGAAACTTTCACTGGCTTCTTGCAAAATAAAAATGGGTGAGAAATCACATTTTCCTTTGGAGGTGATCACAGCATTAAAGCTACAGGTTGAAAATGACAGCTAAAGCAGCCAGGCTGTTTCTCGTTTAAATTCATTTCCTTCCTCCTGGCAATAATCACCCAGGATCTAGGTTGCTAATAGTTAATGGGGTAGATTTAAAAATGTTTTCTTTACTTGCACCTGGTGCTTCTTACGAAACAAACCTCCTTCTCACATGTTTATATACAAATCACTCTTTGCTTTCAAAGTATTTAAGTTCAACCCATAAAGTGCTTTGAACCAGAGTTATTAATATATAAGAGTATAACAGTTTCTGTAAGTTTCTGATTTATTTTGACCCTGACAATGCTGCAATTTAATATGCAATGGCTGAGCTGCAAATCGTGGCTTCTGGCTTAGCCGCGCATTGGGAAAAGTCAGCGGCTAGCGTTATGCAGTGAACTTCTGATGGGGGATTGGAAGGTTGGAGACAAGAGGCAAGAGAAAGTCTGTACAGTGTCCTGCTCCCAGAGGCTCCAGCCAGTGGGCTCAGAGGGATGATGAATCCACTGAGTTGCAGCAGAAGAGGTGAGTCAGAGCACACGACCACAGCAGCCACAAATCAAGGCACACACCGAAGCAGGGAAGAGAGCAGGCAGGCTAAGCATTAAAGAAGGGGAAACCAAAACCCTTTACCCAATATTCATTACATGCTTATTCTAGTATTCAGAAAATCTTCTTCCAGAAAATCTAAGTGACTGAATTCCTCTCTCTGCACAGGGTATTTGAGAGAATAACTACAGAATATTCACTTGTCTATTCTTCTCTTTGAGTCCAAGGAGTCCCCAGCATATGTCCATGAGGAAACCAGCCTGGGGAGGGAAGCAAGGGTTACCTGCAGCGTTCCTTTAGCGTCTTTGCCAACAGCTCTGGACCGCCATCTCCTATGTGACCTTTTTTCCTTTTTGGGACTTTCAAAAGATCCACCCTTTGTTTCAAAACAGGAAAGAGAGCACAAACAGTAAGGTCTACCAAACCCATAGGGAAAGACACACACCAAAGAGACCACCTCCATCCCCTTGAATCTGGCTGAAGCAACCAACAAGACAACTTCCCTGTTAGTGTGAAAGGCTGGGAGGAGAGAGGAAAGCGCAAGAGTGCCAGAATGAAACAGAAGCGGGATCTGGCTAACCTGGATGACATTGATAGCCGGAGCCGAATATGTCCGATGCAGGACGTCCATACTTTGCAGAAGCTGGCTCATCTCCACCAGGCAGTCATGACAGTTTGCCAGTTCTGTAGGAGAAAAGCAAGAGGAGGAGTCAAACACCCTTATCTTGCATTCCAGCTTCCCTCTGCTAGTGCCAGCTACTTTTCTCATTTATCTCTATTTGCTTTTACATCTCATAAGGATAGGAAACTTCACTTCCCTTCTTACAGGAGAGACAGTAGACCATTGTGGTTAAGGGCATACCTCTGGAGGACCACGCTGCCGCAGTTTGAATGTACTTTACGAACTGTGAATCTTGGGCAAATAACATAACTTCTCTGTGTCTCAGTTTCCTCATCTGGAAACCGGGGGTAATTATATACCTATCTCACAGGATAGTTGAGTTAAAAATGAGTTGATAAATGCAGAGTACATTTAGAGTACCCAGCATATGGTAAGCACTAAATAAATCAGTCTTCATCATCATCATCATCATCATCATCACCGTCACCATCATCATCACCAGCACCATCACTGTTACTTCTAATCTTTCAGGAACAGGCTGTCACTACCCGATTCTAAGGACCCAACACAAGTTAAATGAATGAAATTAAAATGAAGGGTGTATTGGTCTCTGAGGATAACGTTGTGAATCATGGACCTGCAAGAGGACCATGATGGTCCTCCACAGATTGACCTACGAGCATCCTCAGTCCAGTTCCTGGGTCACTAACTCAAAAGCTAGTCCTCAATGTGCTGTTCACTGGATGAAGGTGGCTGTTTCTCCTGAGAAATCAAGGTCCAAAAGCTTAAAGACTGCGGCTCTCAAACTTTGGTATCATCAGAATCACCTGGAGAACTTGTTCAATCAGATTGCTGGGCTCCACCCCCCAGTTTCTGATTCAGTCTCTCTGAGTTGAAGCTGAGAATTCGTATTTCTAATAGGTTCCCAGGCCAGGCCAATGCTGCTGGTCCAGGGAAAACACTTCAGGGAGTACTGTCCCAAAATGTCACTCAGTGAAGCTCACATTTATTGGGAGGGCAACACTTATATGGCTCCAGGTGTGATAAGATCTGCATTCAACAGGCAAAAATGCAATTTTCAGGCATCTTTCTCTGATAGTGGTTCTCAATTGTGGCTACACTTTAAAAATCAACTGGTGAAATTTTTAAAATCACCTACGTCCAAGTCCCATCCCCAGGCAATTACATTAGAACACCCCCAATCCCACTGGTGACTTTTTTTTTTTAGTTCCTTGAGTGATTCTTAGCTAATTAAGGTTGAGAACACAGAGCTTCCATACGGTAAGCGTTCTCAACCCTGGCTCCTTATCAGGATCACTTGAGGAACTGCAGGAAAACTAGCGATGCCAGGGCCCCATCCCACACTAATTTAAAAAGATTCTTTGGGACAGGGGCCTGGGCATGCGTATCCTGCATTTTAAAAGCTCTCTTGGCGATTCTAACGTGCAGCCAGGGTAGAGAACACCCGTTTGGTGGGGATCTCCATTTGGTTCACCCACTCGCCTCTGGAACAGTGATTTAAATTCTTGGATGTGCATCAGATGCATTTTTGGCGCTTAAAAAAATATAGCGAACTGTGCAGACCCCATCCCTGGATTCTGTGGTTTAGTAGGCCATATGGAAATCAGGCATCAGTGCTTAAAGAACAGAAAAGGAAACTTGTCTCCATGCACACCCAGGGGAAGACATAAAACTCTAAAGGAAAGTGCTTGTTGTTGATCACGAGTGCAGACTTCATAAGCAAAATATGACAGGGAATGTAGACCAGTGAAGGGGGAGGATACAAATGCATCTGGGGTCTGAATACCAAACCAGTGTAATCTAAGAGCAGAGGTTTTGACAGAAAGAAACAGAGGTTTCGAGTCACTCTTACCTTTAGAGCATTTTTCCATGTCCTCTGAAGACTGTAACCATAATGGAACTCGAGTCTCACCACCACAAGAAAATGATAAATTGCTTCCGGTTTGAAACGAATTCTGCTTTGATATACCGCTATGCTGTTCCACAGATGACAAAAGCACATTATAAATGAAAACAGAGCTCGGTGGGAACACTTTAGGGTAAAGGATAATAAAGTGGGCTTGTAGCTAATGGAAGCCATCTGCCCATAATAAGGAAGAAGCTTCTAGCAAAGCACTCCCCTGGAGACCCTGAGACCGCCAGCTATTAACCGCGTGGCCATACCATGCTACGGGCCCCTGATTTCTCTTCCTATCAAATGATAACCACACTGAAATAATGACACAAATGTTGGGAAAGATTTTGCAATTCTGTATGACTATAAGTGCACCTCTTGTATGTTACAAGCAGAAAGCCAACTGAAGTCAAACTGGTCAAGAGAAAGCTGGAGCTTTCAGGGATATTAAATCCCTCCGTACATGCTGTTCTCCAGTTACACTCTCGGCATTAATAGATGCCCTTCTGGCCCTCGTTCTGACTGAGTGGACACACAGACTAATGAAATCCCAGCTCAAGCTTACCCTGCTCCTCCCCACAAACCCTTCATTCCTCAGACACGGCCCCCGAGAGCAGACTCCTCCCCACACAAAGCCACCTTCCTTCAGATTCATTATCGGCAAATCATTACCTTCCTACTGGAAATGGTGTCCAAGACCTCAGAACCAGAGTCTGTGACAGCAGATCCTGGGAAAAAGTGATTAACTTCATGTGGAAACATGGCGATTTCATTCTGACGATATATTCTGTGGTGGCGAAGTTTGGATACCCACTCATCGAAGACTTCCTCTGACTTTACCTAGATTATGTTGGGTTGAAAGGAGACGAGAATGTCAGTCACTCTAAGGAACAATTAGTCATCACATTGAGGTCACTCCTAGCACTTCTTCATGCTGTCATGTGTAGAAATGTGGAAATACCAGTTTACTGACTTCATTTACGTAGTCTATAGAACAAGCTGGAGAAGGAGATGGAGAGCAAAAATGGTCTTCATAAACTCTACATTTAGGCATTCTATGAAAGACTCCAATTGTTATGTTATTATTAGGAAATATTAAAGAACAAATAAGCTGAAATTTACATTTATCCATCTCTTAAAGTGGTTCCAAGTTCTCTTGTCCCAGTTTCTACTAACCATACTAAAAATATTAGCACCATTTTTAAAAAAAACTCTTTTATAATTCAGACTTTTCAGACCAATCTTCTCTGAACTGGAATGAATTAATAAATTCTTCCTAAAATATTTAATCTTGTTAATCTTCTCTGACAAAGAATATGGTGCTGAGGAATATATGTTAATGAATGTGAAGGTTACTTAAAAGAACATTTCTCCCACTCTTAGAAAACAAAAATCTGATAAAGTTTTATCAGTGATTTCCAGGATTTTTCAAACACACATACACAAACTTTTAGCCATTCTCTCCAGGAGTGACTATCAATGTATAATTTCTATGAAGAGTAATGTTTGTATCTAGTAACTTTTATTATAAAGTATTTCAAATGTGCATAAAAGTACTAAAAAGAATATAATAAGCACCTATGCACCATAGATATTTCTTAATAGTCAATATTTGTGTGTGCATGATGGTGTATTAATGCTTTCAAAACGAAAAATGATAGATATCTATATACGAGAACACAGAGACTCATGAAGTGGTAATTTAAAAGACCTCAAAAGGATGTATGGTAGGTTAACTTCCAAGAAGAAAAATCCAGGTCAATTCAGTTAAAATCTTTACTAATGCTGCTACTGAGAGCAAGGATGTGGAAATAAACGTCAGCAACATCCTTCACGTAGGAAGTGTTCGGTCGGCGTTTATGTTTGCTATGTTGATTAGAAGTACACACAAGACTTAAACCCCTCCAGGTGCTATTGGATGTGTCGTTTACAAGTAGAAGCAACACAAACAGACTCACATCTATTTGTCTCCTTTAAATTATGTTCTTGAAATGTACTTCATTTCCCAGATGTTGTTAACTGACTGCCCAGGACAGTCAAATATGTACTATTCCCCAAGCCTAAGCCCCTATGCCTGTGGCTGTAGGTAATTGCGTACAGCAGGAATTCTCACCCTCGGCACATCGACAGGGTGGGCTGGAGACGTCTTTGCCGTGGGGGCAATCAAGCCCATGTATGTGCTAAGCATGTATTTGCCCAAGTACTACGATGTGCTATGGGGAGGACAGGGACACATTAAAATGGGGAGTTCATAATCTCATGCTTTTATTTTCCCAAAGCACAGCCCCCACTCCCAATATTCCAAGTAATTTGTCCAAGTAAGAAGACTCTTAACATTTTCTCAATTAATTTCTAACACTCGGGTACCACCTAATAGTTATATATAATACATAAACATATTGAGCTTACTGTGGGTCAGGCATTACATCAAGTTTTCTACATGCAGCCCTACAAGACGAGCACTGGAACTCCCATTGTCGGGGTGGGAGGGTGGTGAGAAAACTGAGACTTTCAGAGATTAAATCATTTGTCAAAGGCTGAAAGCTAGTAAGTAACCAGGCAGTCAAGATCTGAACCAGATCTGTATCTCCGAAGCTCTTGCTTCATGCTTTTAACTATCTATACCACCTGCAGGAGAAGGGGCAGAAGAGGGTAGTTAAGCAGCTTTCAGAGATACTGTTTGAAGACCCATCCTTTAGGGGAAAAATTTTTGACATCACTGTGGTATGAGAATTTTAATGAAATCCCTATAAATTTAGTCGAAGTTGTAAGATGGGGCTTCTCAGACTGAAGATCATATTTTATTTCAGGAAACATTTTTTTTTTTAAGAAGATGTTGGGGGTAGGAGTTTATTAATTAATTAATTTATTTTTGCTGTGTTGGGTCTTCATTTCTGTGTGAGGGCTTTCTCTAGTTGCGGCGAGCGGGGGCCACTCTTCATCGCGGTGCGCGGGCCTCTCACTATCGCGGCCTCTCTTGTTGCGGAGCACAGGCTCCAGACGCGCAGGCTCAGTAGTTGTCGCTCACGGGCCTAGTTGCTCCGCGGCATGTGGGATCCTCCCAGACCAGGGCTCGAACCCATGTCCCCTGCATTGGCAGGCAGATTCTCAACCACTGTGCCACCAGGGAAGCCCAAGGAAACATTTTAACCTGTAGTAAATGGTTCTTCACTAAAGATGGTACTGCCTGGGGGTAGAGGGGGTTTGTATTTGGAAACATGAAGTTTTCTGTTTTTTGTTTTTTTGTTACTGATGTCACAATCACAAGGGAGGGGGGGATTTAGGGGATAAGAGACAATGAGGCTAAATGTTCAGCAGTGTAAGAGACAGTCCTACACAATGAAGAACTGTCCCATCCAGATAGCAATAGATATATCCTTAGAAATACTTTCATAATGAAGATCTTCTACATGTTGGCTGGATGCTTTGAAATTCAAAAGGCATCACCAACGGTACTATAACTGACAATCCTTTCACAACATAAAGGAACTCTGTGCAACAGGAGACAGCATCTGGGAAGCAGTGTCACCTTCAGATGATAAATGTGCTCCTCGGTGTCGAGATCTATGCACTTTGACGACTTCTTCACAGACATCACCGAGAGCCCGACATCAATGCAGCCATGCAGCTTCTCTCTCTCTATCTGCAAAGGCACAAAGGGGGCCCCTTGAGAACCACGGTGTTAAAAACCATCGGAACATCCTTAACACTCTTTCCCTCTACCCTCCCCTTCCACACCCACTAACAGTAAACATAATAACTACACTTCTCCAGTACTTAGCGTGAACTAGCACGGAGCTTAGTGCTATACACACATCATCCTATTTAACCTGTGAGGGAGGAAACATCTCCCCTTTTACAGACGGGAGACTGAATTACAGAGGGTTAAGTAACAAGCAGTTTGCACATTGCAAAGTGAGGAAGCAAGGAGGTGAGGAAACTAAAAAGTTAGCCCCATGACTCCTATGACAGTGAATTCACCTGTTAACTTCACCGCCTCCTGCAGAAATAGTTTCCGGTGTCTAAATTCATTTGGAAGTGACTTAAAAAGAGGAGTAGGTTTGTTTTCTACATCTGTGACTCCATTTCTGTTTGGTAAATAGGTTCATTTGTACCATTTTTTAGATTCCACATATAAGCGATATCAGATGATAGTTGTCTTTGTCTGACTTACTTCACTCAATAAGACAATCTCTAGGTCCATCCATGTAGCTGCAAATCGCATTATTTCATTCTTTTTTATGGCTGAGTAATATGGTTACCAAAGGGGAAGGGGGGGATAAACTGGGAGCCTGGGATTGACATATACACACTACTATATAAAATAGATAACTAATAAGGACCTACTGTATAGCACAGGGAACTCTACTCAATACTCTGTAATGACCCGTATGGGAATGGAATCTAAAAAAGAATGGATATATGTATAACTGATTCACTTTGCTGTACAGCAGAAACTAACACAACATTATAAATCAACTATAATCCAATAAAAATTAATTTTAAAATTTCTTTAAAAGCTGAAGAAACCAAAAAAAAAATTTAAAAATAAAAATTAAAAGAGGAGTAAGGAAGCTAATACAGGCCACTGTGAGTCAGGCACTATGGCACGTTTCTGTATTCGCCCCAACAAGGTGAGCACCGTGAGAGAGGCGAAGAGAGGAAGACGGGAGGAGAGAAATGCTGGGTGAGAGAGGGACCCCTACGAGGGCAGGACCAGTAGTCATTCCGAGTCCTCAAGGGCTGTCCGCCTGGTGTTCACACACAGGGGAACCTCCCGTCACCTTCACCAAGGGCCTTCTCCACTAAACCCCTCAGTCCCCATAACAGTGGGAGGGACACGTTCTCTGTTTTGTTCCTGTTAGCTCACTGTGAAGAGGTCTCCCCCACCCAGAGAACCCCACAGCACAACCCTAAGACCAGAACCCATGCCTGGATACCCCGTAGGGTGTTGATAGGGGCTCCTGCACCTCTACTTGGTGGGTGAACTGAGCCCACCCAGAACCCAGAGCAGGGACAGTGGGGAGCAGGTACCTCTGTTCCCTGAGAGGGAACCACCACCCCTCCCTGATCTCCAGTTTAGGGAAATGCAATTCTCAAATATGCACAATCTCATCCATGAGCTGACAACCACTAGCCCTTTAGAATTCTTCAATAGCATACTGGATTAACAAGACGACTTACATCACTTTGGTTCTTGGCATATTTCAAGATTCCTTTGTCCAGATAGAAGAATCTCTGTGGGGAATAAAGCAGAATTCATTAAGACATTCCCAGGACTTCCCTGGTGGTGCAGTGGTTAAGAATCCGCCTGCCAGTGCGGAGGACACGGTTTTGATCCCTGGTCTGGGAAGATCCCACATGCCACAGAGCAACTAAGCCCGCGCGCCTAGGGCCCGTGCTCCGCAACAAGAGAAGCCACCGCAATGAGAAGCCCGCGCACCGCAACAGAGTAGCCCTCGCTCGCCGCAACTACAGAAAGCCCGCGTGAAGCAACGAAGCCCTAACGCAGACAAAAAGAAATAAAAAAAAAAAAAAGACATTCCATTTAAACATCCTTCTCTTGGTCTCCATGCTCAACTTCAAATTAAATGTAAGTGGTTAAGATCCGGGTCCTGAGTGGGGAGTGGAGGTGCAAACGAAGGTGCGTCCCAGGCCAGTTCTTACCTTGTGCCAGCCTTTCAAGGGCCATTTCCTTTTTTTCAGCAAAAATCCTTTCTGAATTGGTGGCTCCTGGGTGTAATTCATCTCTCCCCTCAGTCCTTCCACCACTTCCCAGCTGTCCTGTTCCAACAAAAGAGTTCAGGCTCAATGGCTATCTTTAAAAAAAATAGTAATGTTAAGAAGCACTCGATCCCATCAGTAAATCCATCCAAGATGATGAGACTGGCTGGGTGTGTTGGGGAGAAGAAACTCAAATTTAATTTATGTACGGTTCTTTGACTTTACAGATTTAATGCTATAATTTAGTGGCATCAAATTTTTTGTTGTTGTTGTTTTTGAAAAGCGCTCTCTCAGAAGGGAATGTCTCTGTCTTTTTTGGTGCTTGAACCTTGACAACCACAGCTAAAGGTAAAGACTTTCCTGTAAGTTCTATTTTTGTTCCCTTTGACATCATCAGTAATTCTCACTCACCACTAGACTTCGGTCTGAATTTGAACCCAAAGCTACATACATCAGGATGGAGGCTGGGCAGGAGGGGTAGGGGTGGCTGGGAAAATTGGCTGAAAAGTGTGAGACTGCATGCACGTTGGTAAACACAACACGTTGGTCAAAATGATGATTTAGTCACACTGCCTCCGAATTCTAGGTATTTAAATGTTGGAAATCTTGAAGCATCAAAAAAGGTGGTTCTGCAACAAGTATTTTCAACCTCTTTGCCCAGAAGTTTTGTTTTCTCCTCCTTTCGTTTCACAAACTTTGGTGAGGGGAAGGTGCAATTATTGCTCTACTAAGCTGTTTGCAATTTTGAGGTACAAGTAGTTATTACTATAAATCTTCCACTGTTAGCTATTTGGGTTATTTCAAGTAATTGACTAGAAAAGAATTTTAAAAGGAATACTAAAGAAAAACACTAAAAATTTATTTTTAAATGCTTGAAAATGCACATACCATTGCAAAATTACCCCCAGATAGACCAAAACTGACAACACTTCAGCTGGTTTTTATTTATTATTACTTTTACATTTTTTGTTGGGATATAACATACATGGAATGCGCAAATCTTAAGACTGTAACTTGAAGAATTTATATACCTATACCTACCATCCAGATCAGAGAGAAAACTTTTCCAACACAGGATAATTACGTTTTGACAAACATGTCTTTCCCCTCCTCGGGTTTACTGAGATATTACTGGCAAATAACATATGTAGGTTTAAGATGTACAATGTGATGATTTGATACACCTCTATTCCCTCACAGAATATACTATTTTTTGTGTGTGTGATGATAACATTTAAGATCTACTCTCTTACCAGCTTTCAAGTATATAACATTGTTAATTATAGTCACCATGCTATACATTAGAGCCCCAGAGCTTATTCATCTTACAGCTGGAAATTTGTACCATTCGACCAATATTCTCTCCATTTCCCCCACCTTCTGCCCCTGGTAGCCACCATTCTACTCTCTCCTTCTATGAGTTTGGCTTCTTTAGATCTGAATATAAGTGAGAACATACAGTATTTATCTTTCTCTGTCTGATTTGTTTCACTTAGCATAATATCCTCAAGATCCATCCATATTGTCACAAAAGGCAGGATTTCTTTTTTTATGGCTGAATAATATTCCATTGTGTATATGTATATATATGGAATATATGGAATCTTACATTTCCAGGGGATACATATACATCTTACATTTTCTTTATCCATTCACCCATCCAGTGGGCACGTGGATTGTTTCCATGTTGTGGCTATTGCAGATAATGCTACAACGAAAACTGGGGTACGGATATCTCAGGAGGCAAACATGTCATCTGGGCCAAATTTCATGTTGAATAACTTGCTCTTAGTCAAATCTCCAGCCTGCAGTAAGTGGTACAGGCAGAGGCCAGAGGGGCTGGGAGATGGACCTTAATAACCTGGGAGCAGAAGCAATTAGACCCAAGTCCCAGGCAGCAGACGGTCTAATGGGGAGGGCATGGAACCACAGAGAGTCCTGGGTGCTCTGGCTCGGTGTCTGTGTTGTCCTCAAGTTCAAGATATGGAAAACACCTGGTAGCAAGACCATTTTCCTACCTTAGTGGCTGAACACTTTGTATAACCATCCTGACAGATCTGCCTTATGTCTGATTGCACCTTACTCTCAATAAGGCTTAAGGTACATCCCAGAGTTCTCAAACATAGCACTGGTTGAAATCTGGAGTTGTAAAAGTTGAATTCTTCAATGGAAAAACCAAAGCTGAGATTCAGCTCCTAAATTAGAGGACTTTTTCAAAAAGGTAAAAATGTCAAACGAGATTCTTTGTAGCAATGATTACCAATTATTCAGTCACTTAATTACATCCAGACAATAAATGGAGAATGCATAATATTAAGTGATGGGAAGCCACACACACACAAAAATTCTGCTCACATTTATTTCAGCTCAAAAAAACCAGTCCTCAAAAAGTGTCTTGCTTGTCAAGATTTTACTGAATCGTTAAAATCATCAAGTTAAAAATTTCACCTCCTCCAGGAAGCCTTCTTCAGAGGAAAGTACTATTTCATCCCAGAGACTCCATCAGTATTTCATCTCACCTTCTGCTTATGATTGTATATGTGAGGTTTTATCATCCCTGGACTGGATAATAGACACCTTGAGGCTCTAAAGTGTCTGTTCACTTCTGATTTCCTCAATGTGCCTAACGTGTTATCCTGTGACTAGTATGCATCTGATTGACAAACGGATAAACTTGGTCCTGGAATAAGGCTGCAAACAGATTTATGTTCTTGGAATATCATTCACTGGCTTGCATTTGAAGTATGCCCAATATCTTTGGGCTAAATGACTATTTACAAATCAAATACAGCACATTCACATTTGTGAAAGAAGGTGTGTGTGTGTTATCACTGTTAAATGAAAATCTAAGGCTTGAAATCTTCTAAAAAGTACTCTAAGAAAATCAAGCCCTTTTGATTTGTTTAAGACTCCCAAGCAAAAGGCAACAGGCAGAGTGCTAATACTAGACCATCGTGCACATCTGCTGAAGACATTCAATTGTGCAAAATGCAAATGCCAAGAGGGATTAGACGTTATTGCATACTTTACAAAACTGAAAAACAAATGGAATGAGATCACACCTATAGTTTAAAGGATAACAAGGCTTAAATCTCAAAAATGTTTCAAGGATTCGTGTTAGAACTAGATTTCTCCTGAACTCTTGAGACACAGTATATGCCTACCAATGAGCCAATGTGGAGGGCAGGGGATTAGACTGGGTTTCTTGGCTCTTAAGGTAAATAAGTCAAACAGGGTTTGCACTTAGTACTACGAAATATCATCTTTTTTCCCTCACTTTATCTTCTATCTGGGCTCAGAACTTGAAACTCTTACGAGGTTGGAAGAGCCAGATTTGAAGAATTTAAGAAAGTGAAGGCTCTCCTTGACTGAGGAAGAAAGCACTGCAGCCAACTCCTTTTCTGGCTCAACATACAAATCCTCCCCCTCCCAACTTCCTTATCTGTCACCGTCCTTGAGTCATGAGGCTGAAACCTAAGAGCCAGCATCCAGCCAGTGGTTCTCAGTGGGTACTCTTCTCTCAGGCTGTGAAACCTTGGGGGCACTTTTAGTTGTCACAGTGATGGGGTGGGGGGTTGGTCTCTGGCATCTAATGGCTAGGGACCAGGAATGTTAGATGTCCTGAAATGTCTCAGTCTTGCACAATATAGAAGTTGTCCCACATCCGCAAGATTTTCCAAAGTGCCAAGAGACATTTTCATAGATGAAACCCGTTTATAATTATCCGAGCACAGAACTTAACTCTGTTTCATGTACTTACCAAAGTATTTTTGCATGGTTTTTAACACACTCTGAATTCTTGGGAATGCAACTACTGAATAATTGAGATAAGACTGTACTTCCTCCTGTTTGGGACTCTAGCAAGAGTCACCCACCATTTTGCAGAATCGTGTCACTGAAGCCCGTGCCACTTGCGGTATGTGAGTTATTAACACATCTCTATGGCTCTGCATTAGTAGCCGTCACCCCACATATAGGTGTATCTGACCACTTCATTATGTCCTCTGGTATAGTCATGTCTGGGCTTTTACATACTATAATGTATACTTTAACCACTTCTCTGAAGTTTCCTTTATTCACAGTAAAGTGTTATGTTGATATTTTCAAAATTATGTGGGCCATTATATTAAATTAATAATGAATTTCATTTGAGGAGAGTAAAGCCTTCACTGAAATACTGGTCATAAAAAGGGGACATTGGTATGATGGAGTTAAGAGCCACTGCTGATCCCGACACCAATTCTGTGAGAAGGAATGCCAGACCAGGACACAATATAGTGAAATCACTTTGAAACTGTAAGGGCTTGATTATTATAAGTCAGTCCTGTTAGTTTCATCTTCAAAATGTGTATCTTCCATGTCCCTTCTCCTCTGTTTCCCCGCCACCACCCGCCGATCTCATCAAACCTGATTTCCCAAGACTCCCCACTTCTACAATCATTTATGGGACCTCACTAGGTCCTACTCTCTATGCAGTGTAAAAATGAATACAACATAATATTTGTCATTTCCCTGCTGTGGTTTACTTGTATTTTTCCAAGCTCCCAGAATCTTCTCTTGTTCTTTTCCACCCGTACAAACACTTCAAGATTTTAGTTCAGTTTTCTCTTTCCATGAAATTCCTAAGTTACCCAAACGACATCAATCATATATTCCTGTAAATGATAGTAGTATTGCTGTCCATTACCAGGTAGTTTAGTATTTTATAAATTTTTTTTCCATTTTTATCCCCAGTGCTTTGCTCTTCTGTCCCCAAACAGTTGTAGGGGCCATCTTTTTAAGTTGTTTAGAACCCCAGCAAAGAACTGAGTATATAGTAAGAAAGAAAATAATTCTCCTGGGTTTATATTAATTGTTGGGGTCTCAAACAAAGAACATAGATTAAGGTCTCAAACCAAGTAAATGGCACTGGATGGTTGGTCAACAAGGAGATATTAAAATGTATCCACACTTCTAGGCAGGCTGCCATTCAAAACACAAAAGAATAGTGCCTCAGGAAACACTATCCAGTGGGGTGGATTGAAACAATATATAAATACAAAAATATAAACAACAAAAAG